CATGGATGTAATGGTCATATCAAATCTCGTAGTTAAAAATATATCCAAGAAATGAAACGACAGTTTTGTTTACTTTACAAACATATAATCTATATTCAAGTGTTTGTATGTACATACTTGATAGCACTGTTTTTTTTTTTTATCTTTTCACCGTTTCTGTTTTTATGTACTTGTTGCAGAAACTGCTCTTCTGTCTGCTCATACAGTATCGACACTTTTTACGAAAATTAGTAAGTTTCAGATTTGTGTGAAATGAGAACGAAATTAAGACATTTTTTTGGCGTACGGCTGAAACTATAATTATTTAATCAATAGTACAAACTTTATTGACGAATTGTCGATTTTCGATCAACATCACCCTCGCATTATCGACTTGAGTACAAAGTTTTTTTTATTATTATTATTATTTTTTTTTTTTCTACAGTGCCTCGTTTCTTATCTGGCATTTGCGATCAATGAGTTGTATTGAAATTGTCTGAGAAAAATAATAAAAATACCATTTGGATAATCATTAAAAACTCTGCTACTTATAACGATTTAAATGTAAAAGTATTAATTGATAGAGAATTGTGTAGTACATTTTCTACCACAAAGTTCTAAATTTATCTCAACTTGCACATTCACGACATTTTTGCACAAATATTTTAATAGTTATTAGTACGTAGAAAGTCTCCGTCACTTTTTTTTTTTTTTTTTTTTTAATGCTTGCACAAAATACATGTTACTTTTTATGTATACAGTACATACGTCTACTATGATTAATGCTACATTTATATTATAATAATAATAATAATAATCAATCCTTACGTTGGTGTCCATTATTAACGTGTGAATATCCGCATTATTTCGCTCGTACCCTTACATCTCACTCGATTTATTCGACTTGCAAAAATTATTGTAAATCCAAATACTATAATTTATATTATTTTGGCTAATTGATTTTAAACAGGAGGGTATATGTGAAGCTCAAGGGGCTGTTGGTTCCGCAGCCCCTGTGTTGCGCATGTCATTGCACGCACGCACATTCACGTCAACGATTTTCAATGAGGAGTTTTCTTTTTTCGTTTTTATTTTCAATTTATGTAGTTTCAGTGAAAAAATAGCTTATTTACAAATATTCAATGGTAAAGATTAAGAGTATATTTTTTTTTTCATATCTCTTTTTTTTATATTTATATATTTATATACGTTTATTGTGTGCGTCGATTTATTCATAATTCCCAGTAAGTAGTTTTCTGGAGCCTTCACTAAACAGTTTTTCTACTTGTATCGTGTTCTATACCAACAAAGAAAGTGAAACAGCAACATCTGTACAATGTGTGTATATATAGTCATCGATAGGTAAAAATAATTGTGTTGATATGCGTATTAAGTATGTTTCCATAAAGAAAAACACGTTTCCGATTCTTAAGATTTACCGCTATCGTCTATATGAGAGAGCTCCACAAGTTGTCATCACTTTACAAAGTTGCTCATGTATTTACAGTGAATATTTTCATTTACTGTGCGTGTGAGACTGAATGCTCAATTTTTTTTTATTGTGCTTGAAGAAAAAAGTATGTCGTAAATTTGTAATTTTTTGCCTTCTCTACTATTAGAAAAAAGTCACTTGATATGAACAATTTTTACTCATTTATCGTTGAATTTATTACCTGTCCCTAAATCGAAAATCGTATTCAATAGTACACGCTACTTCGTTAACATTAATTAGTACAGTCGCAAAAGGCAATGTATTTTGTTTTTAAAAACATGGTACAAGAAGAAGTTGTATATATTAAAAAAAAAAAAAAAATTCGAGCTGTCTTTCATTCTGCAATTAATTCAGCGCTTCACACATTCGATATTTATTTATTCGACGGCATAGGATCTCTACAGTTTTACCAAAAATTTACTTTTAATGACTTTCAATCATTCTTCGTGGGGATTCAATAATGCAACCATTAGCGAGTATTAGTGTGAAAAGTAATCATTATAATAGTAACTATTTTACGTGATTGTATTTATTATTATTATTCATTATTATTAATATTACNGAGAAAAAGAGAGTATAATGACGTGGTGGAGGGGAGTGGGGGGTGAAAAAAAAGAAGGAGGAACGGAACGAGCGAAACTAGTCCTTCCGTCCCGGTCTCGTCCGTAAGTGGGTCGCGCGATATCGAGATGGAGAGTGAGAGATGCTGCTCCGGGCTACTGCGCTCGTCATACCTTTATACTATACACATGTGCGGCTTATACTCATCGCGTATACACGACGCGCAATAATTAATACATGTTTCATACACGCACGCTAATTTCACCCCAAAAAAATGCATTGGAGCTCTCGATACGTATATACCTACACCCATAAGATTTCGCGTCCACATTAGCAGCTGTTCAACGTATAGTTTTCATTCAAAGTACATGTGTACGTGAAAGGACGATCGCGCAACTTCCGAGACTTGATGAGCTTCGGATTTTTTTTTATTTAGCAAGGTTTTCTTTGTACAGGTATGCGCGTGTTATTGCGTGGAGGAAAAAAAAAAAAAAAAAAAATTGAATAAAACGACCGCAAGCACGTAAGCTTTCCAGCTCGGATCGAGAATCCCGAGACGCGCCGAATGAAAGGAGCGATCCTATAAGGTATCCATAGAGTTGCGCACGAGTGAAACAAAGACCGCGTCAATGAGACGGTGGGAAAAAAAAAGTTTCCGAGTAGGTCTCGAGAGCGCGGCTCCCGGCGATTGATTACCTGGCGCTCGGGCCTGCATGTTGTGCAGTCACGTACACCTCACGACGCGCTCGAGTGTCGATTTGCGCTCTTTCGTTCCTACTACGGGGCGATAGAGGACACATCAATCCATTGCCGGGGGTTTCGAGCATATATTGCGGACCCAGGGATTTTGTGCTTTTCCGATGCGCCGCTCAGTTTGGCAAAACCCATCATCGTTCGAGGGAGCAAATGTTTTTCAATGTCCCCACCCCCGGAGAAGGTGCTTCGAAACTTTCGTCCGAACCGAGTAGAAAAGATAATCCAATATGCGTACCTCGCCGTTGGTCGCGAAGGGCTCGGCGCCCTCCTCTTCCTCTTCGATTTCCAAGTTGGCTGGCTTCTCTCCGACGCAAGGGCAGTCTGAGGGGGAAGAAAAACAAAAAAAAAAAACATTCCAATTAATTGTTTTCCCGCTCCCCGGGACCATCACGAATTCAGCAATTGATTACGCCATTATATTATATATATGTATACGTATAGGTATGCGCTTGTCGTCGAGTTATTTACCTTGCTGCTTTCGTAAGCCCGAGAGCCCTAATAATGCGGCAAATTCTAGATGGTTAAGTACATAGTGGTGGTGGTGGTGGTGGTGGTGGTGGTGGTGGTGTGAGTGAATTATGCAACGTGAAATAATAACAATTTTTATTTTTTTACTCTCGGCTATATTATATATTTTGTGTATGTATTGGGAAATAAATTTATGAGTTGGGTGTACACGTGCACGCGCTTTTTTCCTCACGTTTCCATGAAAAAATAAAGAAAAATGAAGGAGACATGATTATACATGACAATGCGCATGAAATGACATGGTATTATACATTATGATGTATAAAATACGTACAGGTTGATGAAATGTATGATAAAATCGTGCGTACATATTTGTCTAGCTCTCGGTGAGACAAATCAATGGGAAAACGGCTCACCTAGCTTGGGCTTATTATTGTTATTATTATTATTGACGTTATGTCGATTATTACGATAAACTTTGGTGTTGGCAAGTATTTTGATTATAGGATCGGATTAGTTTTTAGTATAAATAAATAAAGTAAATGTTTATGCAGCGCACATTTATAACCAATATTTGAGTGCTCTGGTAGAAAATGATCAAATTTATCAAGATTACCATTATCCGTCGTACACATATTTGGATTGTAAATATAGTCATGCAATAATGAAAACTTCTGTAAGACGTAATCTGTTCTTATATGTAATTATGTGCCAATACCTAAAAAGCTGGAATGACATATATTGTATTTCACAGGTGTGAAATTTAGAGTCCTGAATAATCACAGATTGTCGAGGAAAAGCCGTATTTTATATTGGAAAGGTGTTACTGAAGATAAAGGTAAAGTTGTTAAAAGTTCCTGTATGCTCCGTGACCAAAATTCTCAAAGTTTGGAGTGTACGCTTGTAAATTTTTCGAACTTTGAAAATTTTTGTACCAACACGTTTGCGTTTCATATGATTATGCTTTAGCTTTACTCCGTGAAACAGCAACAATAAAGTCATGTACAGAATTCTTTACCTCAAGTTGTCTATATGGTTATAAAAAAAAGTGATGTATGCCCGAGCAACATAAGCGTACAGATATTATAACGTTGGTCGAGTTTACATCTGGTTGAAAGATTGCAAATGCTTTACCTTGACGCGCGTAAGTTGAAAAACGATAAACGAAAAAATCGTGCGTAGCTGCGAAGAATATAATATATTATCTCTCGGGAGGGAATTTACGTTTAGGCATACTTAGTAATTGTTAAGTTTTTATTACTCATTACTTTTATCGTTATTACTATTACTTTGGTTTACACACAACATGACGCACAGCGCGCGAAGCTTACACGTATACGGACTCACAAAATTTAATATCCACATTCCGCAATATCCGACTTAGCAAAATATTCGTTTGGTTTTGGACTTGATACACTGGCGAAATCTCAAATGTTTTACTTTTTCCTTTGTTTTGTAATTTCTTCTTTTTTTTTTTTTTTATTTATTTATTTATTTATTTATTCAACAAACAAGCTTATCGAATTTTCGCGTAGCTTTTTCTCTTTCTTCTTTAATTTTTTATATCGCAAACCTAGTTTTTGCGACTCTGAAAATCCACGTAGACACGAATATCCGATTTTCAAGCGACATCGTTTGGTTGAAAAAAATAGACATCCACTCGCAACATCCCCACAGCGTAGGGGTAATGGGTATAGTTGTTGACACCTTAAGGTAGTGATTGACCGCCACATGCATTTTTAAATGGAGCCTTTATATATAGAAATACAAATTATACAGGGGTCAATCACTACCTTAAGGTGTCAATAACTGTACCGTTTATCCCTACACTTACAGCGCTAGCCAACGACAAAGACAACACATACAACACACACACACGCTGCCGAAGCTCACAAGGACGCTCTTAATAATTTCGCTCATACCCCGGATCCTAAATTGTCATGCACACTAGCAAATTAACTCGATTTGCCTTCGTTCGCAATCCCGTTGAGCCACTCGTCGATCGTGCCCGCGTTCTCCTTCACCCAGTGGATGTTGAACTTGATCGTTTCCAGGCTCTGCTCCAGCATCCGCTGGCCGCTACCCACGTCGATGTCCTTGAAGAACTCCTTCACCTGTGTACCCACACCAACAAATGTATCGGTTTTTTTTTGTTTCAAATTCACGCGCAAACATGTCGGTGGAAAGAGAAAAGATAAGGAAAGGCGGACCTCGCGGTAGTCGTACTCGGTGAAAAAGCCCGAGGTGACGACCTGTATGAGGCCGCCCATGGTGAGGGAGCCGTTGCCGAAGAGGCCCTGTATGTGCGGCCAGTGGGCCTTGAGGTGCCTCCAAGCCAGGAGCTTGCCCTCGGGATTCTTGGCGACCGCCGCGATGACCGCCTCGACGTCCTGGGGTCTGACCAGGTTCCGGTCTAGCGTCTGCAGCAGGTAGCGCTGCAACAGCCAGGGATCCGTAGTCGCGCCCAGTGCCTGGAGCATGATTCGCTTCTCGCTCGGGAATTGGGTCCTCAGGTAGGTGTCCCAGCAATGGCTCCACTCGTCCTGGCCCCCGAACTTCACCCCCGCGGCGTACACCACGTCCCGGATGTTCGGTGCTATGCTCTTGTTCCGCAGCATCCAGTCCTCGAAGAGGCCCTTTGCCGGCTTGACCACCTCCTCCAGCTGCAGGTCCACCGCAGATTGCAACACCGAGATACGCAGCAACCTGTTTGCAATGGGAATAATCGTCCAATCAGCCAGAGAGCTCCACTGACAAATCAATGTGTGCACAATGTGTATGTATATGTGGGTACTTTTTGAGGTGGGAGCCATCGTCGCTCCAGCCCACGAATTTGGTGACGGGTGTCATGAGCCTGCGGAGAAAGGCGATGTAGCGCTTGTAGCCCGAGCTCTCGCTGAGCTTGTCCTTCCACGAGTGGAGGTAGTCGAGGGCGGTGGCCCAGGGCACGTAGTCGCGCTCGTTGAGCAGGTAGAGGGACAAGCGTAGGGGAACCGTGGCGTTGAGAACCCCGGCTTCGCAGAGGGTGAAGGCGTCGTCGACGAGGTTGGCTCGGTCCGCGGGGCTGAATTTTTCGCGCTCTCGGACCAACGTCTCGATTAGCGTCGACCACATGTCGTCCGGGTACGACACCCGGTAGAAGCCCGTCTGGTTGACGTTGCACTTTATGTACTCGACCTCGGCCGGCACCTCGAACGTCACTATAATCATCATCCCGACATCGTTTGATCATCATCACCGAGTGATATATGTATTATTATTATTATGCACAGCAATCGAGACAAGTACCGTCAGTCATGTTCATCCAGACGTTTTGGATGTCCTTGGGGTCCTTGCTCGTGTAGTAGCTCAGAGGGACGTACCACTTGTAGTTGTACGGGGACTTGGGCTTGAGCAGTTCCGTGTCGTTCTCGTAGGGCGACACGAGGAACCTCTTCTGCGAGGCAGTTATCATGCCACCATCCCTCGATATCGTTATCAGAGGGAACCCCGTCTGTTGGGTCCACGTGTCCATTATGGCCTGGAAAGAACGAATTAGGTGCACCTGCCCATTGTTGCGGGGGTCGAGAAAAAGCGTATACCTTGACGTCGAAGGTCCGGTTGATGTGCTTGGTGAAGACCGACCAGAGATCGTTGGTGTCGGCGTTGGCGTAGGCGTGACCGGCCAGGTAGTCGTTGAGCCCGGCCCTGAGCGTCTCCTCGTTGAGAAAGCCCTCGAGCATGTAGAGCACCGAGGCCCCCTTGTTGTAGCTTATGGTGTCGAAGATCGACTCGATCTCGGAGGGATCCTTCACGGGTATGCTGATGGGGTGGCTGCTCGCGAGGGCGTCGAGCTCGAGGGCCGGCTGGATCTTGTCGAGGATGAACTGATCCATCATGCTCCACTCGGGCGATATGAAGCTCACGCCCTTGTACTCGAAGAAACTGGCTGCCCCCTCGTTGAGCCAGAGGTCGTTCCACCACTTCATCGTCACGAGGTTGCCGAACCACTGGTGGGCGAGCTCGTGGGCCACGACCACGGCGACCCACTCGTGGGCAGCGGTCGAGGTCTCGCGCGGGTCGTACAGGATCGAGGTCTCCCGGTAGGTTATCAGTCCCCAGTTCTCCATGGCTCCGGCGCCGAAATCCGGGATCGCTATGAGATCTGCGGCGGGGCCAAGGGGGTGGGTCTCGGATATTTGTCTAGCTCTCGGTGAGACAAATCAATGGGAAAACGGCTCACCTAGCTTGGGCAGGGGGTACTGGACGCCGAAGAAGGACTCGAAGTAGTCCATGGTCTTGGCGGCGGTTTTGACCGCGTAGTCGGCCTGGGGTAGCATCGAGGGTGCCGCGTACACGCTCACGCTCACGTTGCGCTGGGTCATTTGGGAGACGCGCTTGAAGTCGCAGACGACGAAGGCCACGAGGTACGTCGACATCTCGACCGATTCTTGGAAATCGTCGCGCAGCTGTTGGGTTCGTTTACTTTTTATTGTTTATTTGTTTGTCATATCGAGTGCGCTTGTGTGTATATACTCACGAGGCCGGTGCCCATGTAGAATCCGGCGTCCTCGGTGTTGACGATCGGCATGTTGCAGAGGGCTATGTGGAACCGGTCCCTGAATATCGATATCTTGAATTTGGCTTTGAACTGGGGCTCGTCGAAGCAGGGGAAGGCCGAGCGCGCGTACGTCGGCTCAAAGTGCGTGGTCGCCAGGTACCTATGACCGTCGAAAAAGCTTTTACACACATTAAAAATTTTGATCTCTCGTTATTGGCTCTTAATTGTTACTTACAGTAATCACATGGATTTAAACGATAGCAAACAACAAGCACAACACTAAAGTTACATTTTACAAAAAAAAAAAAAAAAAAAGTGAATTTTTGATGATGAAAAACTATGGATAAGCGTGCACGTTTTGAGGAGATGATTCATCTATGGATGTACTGTGCGAATGATGGTGGATTCCTTGTAGATGAAAGTTAGATGACAAACAAAAATTGTATAAGTTTGATTAGTATTGTGGCGGATATTGTAAATTTATGACCGTATCAGTACAAATTGGTTGACTAATTTCATCACTACTCTCTAGAGGGTTGTTAGATTATTAATTTATTTGATAAATTATAAAATTGTATTTGCTTTTACTTATCAGCAGAAAGCCTGCATCAATACATTGTAATGTAGGTAATGACCTGAGGAAATAAAAAAAAAGACATCATTTGTTTTTTATTTTTATGCATTAATGTCAATTGTGATTGCTCTATCACCCTATCGGTTTAAAAACCTATGAATCAAATATTACTCTATGCAACTAACTTTTCTCTAAAAGGATCGAGTCGTTTGGAATGTAATTAAAAAAATAAGATAAATAATAATAAACAACAACTACCGTTTACTCTACTACGACATAAATACGTATAATCCAAGTGGGTAACGTGTAGAGATAAAATGTACGTCGTGCAAAGAGTGCTATCTATGTATTGGAGAAATTACGTTGAGAAAAAAAAAAAAAAAAAAAAAGGTACGATAAGATTGCTAGATACCTTTTTTCTTTGTTGGCGTTGACGTAACTGCTGAGGTAGAAGCCCTCGAGGTCGTTCTTGAGTTTTGACATGAACCTCAAGTGGACCGTGTAGTTTCCCCTCTTTCTGAACTTGCTCTCCTCGAGCTCCAAATAAATTTGCTGGTGTTTCGGATACTCCAACAGCTTGGCGATCTTCAGCCTGTGCCCCTTTCGGTCTTGCACCATCTACGAAGACAGGTTGCATCATTCATATATACACCGCGCGGCAACACATATTATGGGCCGGTCAGTCATGCAATTTTACCTTTTCGTTTATTGTCAGGTTTTTACTGTGGAAGACGATGAAATTGGTCTCGCGATCTACGTAAAACTCGATAGTCACTTGTCCTGAAAGATAACAACCGAAACATAATTTTTTTCCACCCGATCAAATTTAAAAAATACATCACGCATCGGCTCACCTTTGACTTCCAGCGTCGTTAGATTCGGATGGATCGTGATATTGTAGCGCGTCGGATGGACGTAATTCGGTAGTCTGACGTTGTCCCACGGAAAGATCTATGGGGAGAAAAAAAAAAAAAAAAAATTGAATAAAACGACCGCAAGCACGTAAGCTTTCCAGCTCGGATCGAGAATCCCGAGACGCGCCGAATGAAAGGAGCGATCCTATAAGGTATCCATAGAGTTGCGCACGAGTGAAACAAAGACCGCGTCAATGAGACGGTGGGAAAAAAAAAGTTTCCGAGTAGGTCTCGAGAGCGCGGCTCCCGGCGATTGATTACCTGGCGCTCGGGCCTGCATGTTGTGCAGTCACGTACACCTCACGACGCGCTCGAGTGTCGATTTGCGCTCTTTCGTTCCTACTACGGGGCGATAGAGGACACATCAATCCATTGCCGGGGGTTTCGAGCATATATTGCGGACCCAGGGATTTTGTGCTTTTCCGATGCGCCGCTCAGTTTGGCAAAACCCATCATCGTTCGAGGGAGCAAATGTTTTTCAATGTCCCCACCCCCGGAGAAGGTGCTTCGAAACTTTCGTCCGAACCGAGTAGAAAAGATAATCCAATATGCGTACCTCGCCGTTGGTCGCGAAGGGCTCGGCGCCCTCCTCTTCCTCTTCGATTTCCAAGTTGGCTGGCTTCTCTCCGACGCAAGGGCAGTCTGAGGGGGAAGAAAAACAAAAAAAAAAAACATTCCAATTAATTGTTTTCCCGCTCCCCGGGACCATCACGAATTCAGCAATTGATTACGCCATTATATTATATATATGTATACGTATAGGTATGCGCTTGTCGTCGAGTTATTTACCTTGCTGCTTTCGTAAGCCCGAGAGCCCTAATAATGCGGCAAATTCTAGATGGTTAAGTACATAGTGGTGGTGGTGGTGGTGGTGGTGGTGGTGGTGGTGTGAGTGAATTATGCAACGTGAAATAATAACAATTTTTATTTTTTTACTCTCGGCTATATTATATATTTTGTGTATGTATTGGGAAATAAATTTATGAGTTGGGTGTACACGTGCACGCGCTTTTTTCCTCACGTTTCCATGAAAAAATAAAGAAAAATGAAGGAGACATGATTATACATGACAATGCGCATGAAATGACATGGTATTATACATTATGATGTATAAAATACGTACAGGTTGATGAAATGTATGATAAAATCGTGCGTACTGGGCACTGTACCATTTTGTGGTCCCGCGAAGGCAACGATGAGCGATATGGCGAAAAGTGAGGCGAAGACGAGCGTGGCGATGCAGAGGGCCCGCTTTTGCGAGCACATGGCCACGCCGTTTTGCTCGTAGATGTTGCGCTTGTGCAGCCCCGGATTGCTCTCGCCTGGAACAGAAAATCAAATTTTTTTTTTTTTTTTTAGTCATCTTATTATGAGTTCATGATCGTCATAATCGTCATTTGGGGGGGTCGTCTACGTTAAACGCTCGCAAACTCCGTCTCACTCGAGAGATGCTCCACTTTATTGGGCCATAAAAAGTTTTGCTCGGGATTGCTTCGAAGCAAAAAAAATGTGCTCGCATCTCGCCAGAGTCGATCGATCGAAAACGGGGTGAGCAAGGAATATTTTGTAGCAAATGTTGCTCGTACAGATACGCAAGTTAAATTTTTTATTAAAGATGATACAAAACAAAAAAAAAGTTGTAAGGGTAACTAACCAATACCAATGTATTTTTAGGTCGTGGCACATCAGGCACGGTAAAATGGCAAAAAAAAAAAAAAAAAAAAAAAAAAACAACAACAACAATACAATAGCAACAGTAGTATAAGTGTAACAATTTATCAGATGAGTAAATACACGACATCGTGTGTACTACTACGTGGCGCATGTGTAAGTTTGATCGAAAGCTTTGGTGCATCGCACGCGATGTATATATTGCCAACCGTGTAATTGACCCAGAACACGTATAGTCGCATCATTTTACATGTGAAAGCAACTCGTTGAAACGTAACGAAAAGTATTGGCGATTTTTTCCGATCCCGTAGATACCTACTTTTTAAAGACCACGTGTATAACTGTGTGTAGGGTCGTTGAGAAAAATGCGCTTGGACATCACGTGTACCTGCATGCTGACGTTTGTGTCGGTTTCTTTTCCTCTATCGTTGCTTCATTTTTGATTCGCTCCACTTTGAGACGACGCGGTCTTGATGAAAGAAAAATTCGATACAAGAGACCAAGAGGCTCTCGATATTTCTCGTCCACGCCTCGTCAAGTGGCCGTGCACTCTCGAAGACTCAATCAAAAGTCCAAAGTCTTTTCCAGACTCGTGCAGTCTTTCAAAGGCTTTTCCAGTATTTTTGATGACCGCAAGAGTGCGCGGCCCCTCGTACCTGCGCTATACTCCCATAAAATAATATAAAATGTCACACGCATAAAAATGATTTTCAAAGCGTTTTTCCACGTTAGCTTTATAAATTACTGAACACGGAGGCGAGTTAAGACGCCGGCGATCGCCTCCGATGAAGCACCGTTGATAAAAAAAGCTGGAGATGGGGGGGGGGGGGGGAAAGAAATTCGACACTCTACCGATGGAAGCTGGCAACGCGTAGACGACGAAGCCTCTCCTGCCCAACGGGCTCATAAAAAATTTCGCATCGCACCCCTTATCTCTCGCTCGCTCTTTCGCACTCGACCTCGATTTCAACGACTCGCGCTCTCGAGGCTCTGCACGAGTGTGCCACCTATATATTGCACACATCACGTGTATGTTATATACCTTGATTTTTTTTTTCCCCACTCCGCTCTTCTCTTTCTTTTCTTCAATGGAAAGAGTCGATGCGAGCAAGACACGCGCGACATTCAAATATTACGAAACAACCGCGCGTGTGTTACACGGAGACGTGGGGGGGAAGTCGGAGGTAGGGATTTTCCTTTGTTCGTGACTCCGCGGAGCGCCCCGGGTGCCGCATTAATTTTGCGACTGAAAGCAGGTTAGACACTTGACGCTCTCCTTTTTTTTTTTTTTTTCCCTACCAGGTGAAGAGCGGCATCAGAGGAAAATCGCAGAGAGAGAGAGGATTGAAAAAGAGTCGCGTTTCTCCGGTTGACCTGCTTCTTTTGATAGCAATTGGATTTATTTCGAGAGCCCCGAGCTTGAGCTAAGTGTTTTTAAAAAAAATTTTCTCCCGCGACGAGTTCCACCGCTATAGTAAACGGCTCGTCGTCGACGGCTACTGTGACATTTCCAGCGATGCAAAATCACAGTAACGATATAGTAGAAAAAAAAAAAAAAAAATAGCAGATTGGTATACCGTCCTATGTAGGTATCGGTCATCGTCTCCCCTGGCAAAAGCCATCAATCGCTCGAAATGAAAAACGGGGAGTCACGCGCGACGAGAAAGACAAATCCCTCCTCTCGAGTCTGGCTGTCTGCGGGGTTCGACAGAGACAGATTAAAAATGCAAATAGCGCCAATCGAAACGGGAGCGAGAAGAGGCGCATTGCACGTTATTGCACAGAGGAGGAGGTGGAGGAGGATGAAAAGGACCGACGGTACAGGGCAAAGGAAGGAAAGATGAATGAAAAGCCCCGACGGGGGTAAATAGAACCACGTCTCTTTCCAGGGAGGTATCGACCATCGGAGGAAAGTCATAGGAGGGAAAAAAAAAATGTGGGGGTGGGCGGGGGAAGAGGAGACAGCGGGGTTCAGTTGCAGCAGAGCGGGCGAGCGGAGGAAAAAAAAGTCGGCGAGTCATGAGTAAGTGGGCCAGCCGGTCGAACACACATTTCAAGCTTGCACGTATACGTTACAGCCATGGAGCTATACTGTCTCCCTGCCAACCACTTGTGGGAGGGGGGGGGGGGAAAGGGGTAGGCATGGTTGTATAAATTATATGTACACACGGTCTTCTGTACTACACATTCGACGTTCATCCGAGGCAGAGCCACCCCCAAGCTACACTTTTAGGTTCTTCATTCCCGGTTATACTTGACTCACAAGCTATCGGTAGGTTATGTAGCACACGGAGGTTCGATCGTCCCTTCGTTTCTATGAAGCCAGTGCCGTTATTTATGCCTCGCGGTAAACAAAATTTATTTTTCATGGCACGCCGAGAGCATCGCGATCGAGCGTCGGCTCCCGTTATTTATGACGATCGCTCTGGCCTACGTGTCGCGTGCACGTGTGCAATAGTTTCATCGCACTTTCCAATTGGAGAAAAAAAAGAAATATACTCGACCGGTTGGTAGAGAAAAAAAAAAAAAAAAAAAATTCGACCAACTTACTGCAAGAGGGAAAGTGTCAGTAGTAACAACAGGATTTGGTCAGACGTGTAAAGTAAAGTGGTGTTCACGTCTACCTACTTGGAATGGCACCTACACTACAGAAAATGTTGTTCATCCATAAGCATGATGAAATAACAAAGAACAATATCCTCTCCTCCCGTAGTTTTCGATCCCGTAAGGGCCCACTCGATACGGTACAAGTGATGCACTTCAAATTAATGAAGAGCGAACAATTATAGCTACATAGGAGTATAGGTACATCAGTAAAAACAGTCTTCAGAATGAAAACAGAAAGATGTTGAAAAAAACCAAGTAATTTTCATTTGGGAAACATTGATACATGCCTGTCCGACGAAACGTTTAGTTGTACTACTAGTTTGTCGCCAGACTAACGGGGTGTAAGGGGACACTCAATAATCCAAATATATAAGTGTATCAAAACCTGCCGGGGAAAATAAAGAGGGTTCTGTTTCAACGGTGTAACGCGATACAAGTGACACCGCTGGCGTTACACCGTGTATACGTAAGGGATGACACATCGAGATTACGTGCAGGGCAAATATCGCGATGCCCCATCAAGTTAACACACGCCGGGGGATGTATTACTGCGTCCTATGCCAATAAAATTTTCAACACTACAGTTTTCCCTCTTGTCACGAATATCCAGAATTATTTATCAAACAGCATTTTATTCATCATCTCGAAAAAGTGTTACTACTGCGTGTTATTGTATAATGGGATGGCTACAACAAACAATAATATTACTGTTACTACGCTATTATCCAAAATCAAATACTATTAGTCGTAAAAATCATACGGAAAATCGTTTCGATTTCCGGTCCAAGATAAGATATATATATATCTACACTATGGATAATACTACACCACGAAGCATGTATAATATATCTGTATGGCATGCAATAAAAAGATACGCCAAGTGTCAATGGGCACCCATAAAATAGTAAGTAGTAGCGTCAAGTGCTCATGAAATTGCCGATTTCGTCGCGTTAGTTTTTTTTTTTTTTTTTTTTTTTCACACCAGTAGATAAAACTTGAGCGCAATAAAGAAGACAAACAGAGCGGGACGAGCTATTCGAATAAACTTTCATCCCCTTGTTCAACGCGAGGCCTGTCAAAGACCTATACGTACGTGTAAAACGTATAAAAGCAAATAACGACGAGGAGCTGTGAAAAAGAGGTGAAAAAAAAAAAAAAAAAAAAAAAAGCGGACAACAAATGTGAAAATTGTCTGAAGGTGCGACGTAACGAGATGTAAAAAAATCATAGAAACAACGGATGAAGAAGAAGCGTGTGTAACCTGTGAGGAAGGCGACGTCGTCGACATCCTGCTCGCTCATAGCTAACCGGTTGGGCGGGGGCCTTTGGCGCTCCTTGTGCTTGTCGCCCCGACGATAGACGAAGCCCTTGAGCTCGCCGTCGGTCGAGGCATACGAGATCTTGATGAGGGGCTCCCTCTGCTCGGCCAGCTTACCGCCGGCAGCGACGACGAGCAGCCCACCTGCCGCTCGCTCCTCGCGCACTCGTTCACCCCGACCGAGCACCTGCTCGCTACCACCCCACCCCCCCCTCTCCCACCCTTTTTCTTTTTTTATTCCTTGGCTCCCTGACACACGCCGACGACAATGTCACGACACATGTATGTATATATATATATATATATATCGTCAACAGGTACAAACTAACAACGGCAGCACAAACAAAAGTACATTGTCATCACGAAAAAAAGGTGCAAATCACATCGCGCTCGAGGTGCTGTCGTGTGGGGATGGACGCGTGGACGGAAGCGTAAACAACAACAACAACAACAACAGTAGCAGCAGCACTCATGTGCACAGCAGTGCAGTGCCCCGGTACGGCCGGTCGTTAAGTAGGAGGGCTGGACGGGGTGAGCGGACCATCGCCGCGACGGAGTAACGTGCCGGCGTTGTCATTTCACCGGGAGCCAGCTTTAGCCCCGAGTGTTGGCCCATCGGTTGTGCTCCCGTGGTTGTCACTGACGAACGGGGACGGAATGGATCGAGGCGACTCTCCGGTGGGGCCCCCACACTGGCCGGGGCTCCATCCACGCAGCGACTGAGCC